TTGAATAATACACAACAGATACATTTAAAGTCAAACTGTGGAACCTCGACCTGAAAAGTGACTCTGTGAATTTGTCGTTAAGGTCAGGTAAGTCTGGTTAGAGTTCAGTCTCCAGGAAACAAGTGTGTGTGTGTGTGTCTGTGTGTGTGTGTGTGTGTGTGTGTGTGGTTTTCCTGTTTGTTCGCGGCTTCGCTTGTTCTGAAACTTCTGAATGTGCAGCAGAGGTGCACCGTTTCCTCTCACACGAGAAAAACAAGCATGACCCAAAAAGAACACGACCCAAAAAAGATCAGGGTCCAAAAAGATCATGACCCAAAAAAGCCCATGAGAGTCCATAAAAGTCCTGCAGATCCACCAACACCCAGAGTCCATAAAAGTCCTGCAGATCCACCAACACCCAGAGTCCATAAAAGTCCTGCAGATCCACCAACACCCAGAGTCCATGAAGATCCTGCACATGAAATGATTATTAATGATTAATTAATGATTCTTTTCTTCTCCGTGTGACTTTTACAAAACTCATGAGTCTGAGCTGATCTGTGCTGAGAACTAAACCAGGACTAAACCAGGACTAAACCAGGACTGAACCAGGACTAAACCAGGACTGAACCAGGACTAAACCAGGACTGAACCAGGACTAAACCAGGACTAAACAGGACTAAACCAGGACTAAACCAGGACTAAACCAGGACTGAAACCAGGACTGAAACCAGGACTAAACCTAAACCAGGACTGACTAAACCAGGACTAAACCAGGACTAAACCAGGACTAAACCAGGACTGAACCAGGACTGAACCAGGACTAAACCAGGACTGAACCAGGACTGAACCAGGACTAAACCAGGACTAAACCAGGACTAAACCAGGACTAAACCAGGACTGAACCAGGACTAAACCAGGACTGAACCAGGACTAAACCAGGACTAAACCAGGACTGAACCAGGACTGAACCAGGACTGAACCCAGGACTAAACCAGGACTGAACCAGGACTAAACCAGGACTGAACCAGGACTGAACCAGGACTAAACCAGGACTGAAACCAGGACTAAACCAGGACTGAACCAGGACTAAACCAGGACTGAACCAGGACTAAACCAGGACTAAACCAGGACTGAACCAGGACTGAACCAGGACTAAACCAGGACTAAACCAGGACTAAACCAGGACTGAACCAGGACTGAACCAGGACTAAACCAAGACTAAACCAGGACTGAACCAGGCAGACTTTGTGTTGTGTGACATATTTCCATAATATAATTGTATGTATATATATGTATATGTGTATGTGCATGTATAAGTATAAATACATGTGCATGTATATGTATATGTGTATGTGTATGTAAAGTAGTTGTATTTTGTGTATTTTGTATATATACTTTTAGACTCTTTGGTTGTGACATTAGTATTTGTATATATGTATATAAGTATAGTAGTTGTGTTTAGTGTACTTTGTATATTTATCTTTGGACTCTTGTGTGTATATATCAGTATTTGTATTTCTATATGTACATATGTAAATATATATGTATATATGTGTAGTACTTTTATTTGGTGTATTTTATGTACATTTCTCTTTGGACTCTGTTATGTCATTAGTATTTGTTTATGTATATATGTATATGTACGTATTTATGTACAGTACTTTTATTTGGTATATATTTTTTATACATTTGGACTCTTTACACTCTTGTTATGTCATTAGTATTTGTATATAAGTATATATGTATAGTACTTTTATCTGGTGTATTTTTTATACATTTGGACTCTTTGGTTGTGACACTATATGTACATGTAAATGTTTATGTATAGTACTTTTATTTTGTATATATTTTGTTAAATATCTATAGACTCTGTTATGTCGTTATAAGTATATAAGTATATATGTATAAGTATATATGTGCAGTATTTATTATATTTTAAATATATTTTATATATGTTGTGTTGGTGCAGTGAGTTTGAGGAAACGATCTTGTTTTGTAAAAGTGTCTAAAGTGAGAAACAGGAAAACCACAAAAACTCAAACCTCCAGAACAAAACCTGTGCAGCTGACAGGCGCCGCTCTGACAGACAGGTGCTCCGGCAGGCGCTCTGCCCAAAACCAGTCTGAACCAGTTCAATAGAGACACTTCCTCTCCACCGCACTCCGTCTGTGAGAAAGAAAGAGAAGAGCCAGATGCCCTGCCAGGCCCCTCTGTGTTCAACTGATCTATAGAAAAATACAATTCAACTTTATTTGTACAAAACATTTTATAAATAAACCAGTTTCACACAAGTGTTAAATATTTAACTCTGAAAAGTCTAAAGGGACCAACAGAATCAATAGATAAAAGAAAAATAATAAAATCAATCAATAAAAATAATAAAATTAATAAATAAAGGCAGCACAAAAAATGAAAATAAAATAAACAGGTCTTTGTGTTGCATTTTTTGTTTGAAACGTTCTCTATAAATAAAGTTTGATTGATTGAAAATAGATCAAAACAGTAAATAAATTCAAAATAAATAAAAGACACAGAGGAAACACAACTCACAGTTTTAAGTTTCGTCTTAGGTCCCAAGAGCTGCAGCTGGACCTCAGACCTCAGACCTCAGACCTCAGACCTGAGACCTCAGAGCTCAGAGCTGGACCTTAATTTACAGAGAAATAATAAAATAAAAACCCAGGATCAAGTCGAGTTAATATGAACATTTAAAACCAAAATAATGAGTGTGACAGCTGCAGGTTCAGAGAGACGGGCCACACTTTTTCAACACAAAGTGAACTGGAGCCACAGTTGCTGGAGCCGAATCATGGACTGACCAAGTCCATTTATCACAGACCAGAACTGAGTCCAGATCCAGTCCACAGACCCAGACCCTGTGCTCGACTCTGACTCTGTCTGTTTACGAACATTTGTTTTGACAAAATAAACATATTTTATAATTTAACCTCATGTCTGGACTGAAACTACACGACTTTTATTTTAGAGGTGTTTTTTTTAAATGACATTTTTTGTTTGGCAGCTTCACTTTTTCATTTACACATTGTCGGGTTTGTTGAGAAACAAATATTTCCCTCAATCTGTTTTCTAAAATAACATAATTTTCTAAAAAGTTTTCGTTTACATCGAGCCTCATAAATCGTCCATCGAGCTCCGTCAGAACTACACCGAGACTCTGGATCAGACTCAAACCTGTCGCTTTTATTTCTTTACAGTTTAAGTTTTACTCAAAGATCCGTTTAAAATGGTGCATTAGTGAGCGGCTCGCCTCTCCACAGATCTGATAAAGAAATGCGACTGCTGCTCTGAATGTTTCACCTTCAACATCATCATCAGAGCAAAAGGAAAACACTGGTCACATTTTTGTCCAGAATCTTCCTCCAGTCGAGCTCGAGTTTTAGGAAGATTAATTTTCAGAGGTGAATTTTCTGTTTGTGTAAAAGACGAAAACAAACGAAGGAAAATGTCTCAGTTTTTAAAAACCTCCGAGTTCGTGTAAACGAGGCCTGAGTCAGAACAGAAACTCTACTCAGTCTGAGAAACTCGTCAGAACAATGAGATTTACAGCTTTTATAAACAAATATAATTAATAATCTTCAGAATTAAGTTCAGTATTTTGGCCTCCACAATATTTTCAGTTTCTCATGTGGCCCCAGGGAAAAAAGACCAGGACTAAACCAGGACTAAACCAGGACTAAACCAGGACTAAACCAGGAAACCAGGACTAAACCAGGACTAAACCAGGACTGAACCAGGACTAAACCAGGACTGAACCAGGACTAAACCAGGACTAAACCAGGACTGAACCAGGACTAAACCAGGACTGAACCAGGACTAAACCAGGACTAAACCAGGACTAAACCAGGACTAAACCAGGACTAAACCAGGACTAAACCAGGAACCAGGACTAAACCAGAACCAGGACTAAACCAGGACTAAACCAGGACTGACTAAACCAGGACTAAACCAGGACTAAACCAGGACTAAAACCAGAACTGAAACCAGGACTAAAACCAGGACTGAACCAGGACTAAACAGGACTAAACCAGGACTAAACCAGGACTGAACCAGGACTAAACCAGGACTAAACCAGGACTAAACCAGGTTTAAACCAGGACTAAACCAGAACTGAACCAGGACTAAAACAAGAACTAAACCAGGACTAAACCAAGACTAAACCAAGACTAAATCAGGACTGAACAAGGACTAAACCAGGACTAAACCAGAACTAAACCAGACTAAACCAGAACTAAACCAGGACTAAACCAGGACTGAACCAGGACTAAACCAGGACTAAACCAGGACTAAACCAGAACTAAACCAGAACTAAACCAGGACTAAACCAGGACTAAACCAGGACTAAACCAGGACTAAACCAGGACTAAACCAGAACTAAACCAGGACTTGACCAGGACTAAACCAGGACTAAACCAGGACTAAACCAGGACTAAACCAGAACTAAACCATGACTAAAACAAGAACTAAACCAGGACTAAACCAAGACTAAACCAAGACTAAATCAGGACTGAACAAGGACTAAACCAGGACTAAACCAGAACTAAACCAGGACTAAACCAGGACTGAATCAGGTTTACACCAGGACTAAACCAGGACTAAACCAGAACTAAACCAGAACTAAACCAAGACTAAACCAGAACTAAACCAAAACTAAACCAGAACTAAACCAGGACTAACCAGGATTTACGTAGAACTACACCAGGTTTAAACCAGAACTTTAGTTCAGACCTGGTTTAGTCCTGGTTCAGGCCTGGTTTAGTCCTGGTTTAGTCCTGGTTCAGGCCTGGTTCAGTCCTGGTTTAGTCCTGGTTCAGGCCTGGTTCAGTCCTGGTTTAGTCCTGGTTCAGGCCTGGTTTAGTCCTGGTTTAGTCCTGGTTCAGGTCCTGGTTTAGTCCTGGTTCAGGCCTGGTTCAGTCCTGGTTTAGTTCTGACTTTGTGCTGTTTATTTTTCAGACTCTTATAAAAATCTCTTTATGTTTCCACAAAGACAAAGAACGACATTTTAATATTTCAATATAAGATTTTATTTTGATTTTAAAAATAGAAAATACATGAAAATATATGAAACAAAATTATAACAAAATAAAGATTATAAAATACATCAAAATCCATAAAAAATCTGCATCTGTTCTTTTTTTTTCATCTTTAGTCACATTTTTACAGAAGGATTTAAAACAGTAAATTACACTTGAACAATATAAACACAGAATAATCACATAACGGTTCATCAAAGCCGGTCCAAATCCGATCTCCAGAGTAATCAGATAACCCCATAATGAAATCTGATTTTGGTGTGTAGAAAGTACAATTTAATTTAGAATAACTCTTTTAATCTTTCACATTTTTTTCAAATTTTTGGATCAACAATTAGCATTTTTGGTTTTGATTTTCCTCGTCCAGACCTGCACACGAGTGAACGATCAGACAGAAATCAGATCACTCAGGTCAGATGGATCGGTAATCTGATTACTCCGGAGATCGGATTATGATCAGATTTCTGGTGTCCGTTTAAACAGAGTCAGAGTTTTGGAGAATCGTATTTGAAAGTGAAGAAGACGAACGATCCTGAAGCCGTCACACATTTTCTGAAATCAAAAAGAAAAAAAATATTAACACAGGCTGCAGTAGAAGTAGAAGTACAGGTAGTAGTAGTAGTAGTAGCAGTAATAGTGGTGGTTGCAGTATGAGTATTTGCAGTAGTAGTAGTTGAAGTAATAGTAGTAGTAGTAGTTGTGTAGTAGCAGCAGTAGTAGCAGTGGTAGTAGTAGTAGTAGTAGTAGTAGAAGTAGCAGTAGCAGTAATAACAGTAGTAGTAGTAGTAGTGGTAGTAGCAGTACTAATAGTAGTAGCAGCAGCAGTAGTAGTAGTAATACTAGTACTAGTAGTAGTAAGTAGTAGTAGTAGTAGTAGCAGTAGTAGTAGCAGTAGTAGCAGTAGTAGTAGTAGCAGTAGTAGTAGTAGTAGTAGTAGTAGTAGTAGTAGTAGTAGTTAGTAGTAGTAGTAGTTGCAGTAGTAGTAGTAGTAGTAGTAGTAGTAGTAGTAGTAGTAGTAGTAGTAGTAGCAGTAGTAGTAGTAGAAGTAGTAGTTGCAGTAGTAGTAGTTGCAGTAGTAGTAGTAGTAGTAGTAGTAGTAGTAGTAGTAGTAGTAGTAGTAGTAGTAGTAGTAGTAGTAGTAGTTGCAGTAGTAGTAGTTGCAGTAGTAGTAGTAGTAGTAGTAGTAGTAGTAGTAGTAGTAGTAGTAGTAGTAGTAGTAGTAGTAGTAGTAGTAGTAGTAGTAGTAGTAGTAGTAGTAGTAGTAGTAGTAGTAGTAGTAGTAGTAGTAGCAGTAGTAGTAGTTGCATAGTAGTAGTAGTAGTAGTAGTAGTAGTAAGTGGTAGCAGTATAGCAGTAGCAGTAGTAGTAGTAGTAGTAGTAGTACAGTAGTAGTAGTAGTAGTAGTAGTAGTAGTAGTAGTAGCAGTAGTAGTAGTAGTAGTAGCAGTAGTAGTAGCAGTAGTAGTAGTAGTAGTAGTAGTAGTAGTAGTAGTAGCAGTAGTAGTAGTAGTAGTAGTAGTAGTAGTAGTAGTAGTAGTAGTAGTAGTAGTAGTAGTAGTAGTAGTAGTAGCAGTAGTAGTAGTAGTAGTAGTAGTAGTAGTAGTAGTAATAGTAGTAGTAATAGTAGTATAAGTATAAGTAATAGTATTTCTACTCACAGCGGCTGATAAAGAGGCGCAGCGTGAGCAGGATGTTGATGGCGACGGTTTTGACGAAGAGAATTCTGAGTCCGAGAACCGTCAAAGAAACCAGGTTCACCACAGGGTCTGAAGAACAGCACACACGCGTAAGAAATCAGCACAAATCAGCACAAAATCAGCACAAAATCATCAGAAATCATCAGAAAAGTCTTAAAGAGAACTGAACCTACCGGGCTGAAGAGTTTCCACAAAACCACCGATCGTCTCTGGAACAAAAAAAAACAACAACTTTAATTAATAAAACAAAACCAGAGGAGCAGACAGGAGCAGACAGGAGCAGACAGGAGCAGACAGGAGCAGACAGGAGTAGACAGGAGCAGACAGGAGCAGGGGGCTGCTTCAGTTGTACCTTGACAGTATTCCTCCTTATCTCCAGGTTTCATGAAGGCCACCTGGCTGTAGAGGCCTTTGGTTTCAGGGTCAGTGTTCTCTCGGTCGATGAAGGTTGCTTCAGTTTCGTTGAAGGGATAAGTCTCATTGAGTTTCTTGCGTCTGCTGAAGCCGGTGGCGAGACAGAGCTGAGTGTTGTCCTTCTCCAGTTGGTAGAAATTCGGCTCCACGTCCTCAGCTGCAAAACAACAAACCTCCATGAGTAAAGATCTATCTAGATCTATGAAGAACCAGGATCTGAGACGAAAACGCCAAAGATCTGAGCAAAATCAGAACCTGAACCAAAGCCCAAAGATCTGGGGAGAACCATGAGCTGAGCCAAACCTTAAAGATCTGAGCAAAACTAAGACATGAGCCCAAGCCCCAAAGATCTGAGTAGAACCAGGATCTGAACCAAACCCCAAAGATCTGAGCAAAATCAGAACCTGAGTTGAACCTCAAAGATCTGAGAAGAACCAGGATCTGAGTTGAATCTCAAAGATCTGAGCAGAATATAGACCTGAACCAAACCCCAAAAATCTGAGCAGAACAAGGAGCTGAGCCCAAACACCAAAGATCTGAGAAGAACCAGGAATGAGTCCAAGCCCCAAGGATCTGAGCAGAACCCAGAGCTGAGCCGAACCCCCAAGATCTGAAAAGAACTAAAAACTGAACCACACCTCAAAGATCTGGGCAAAATCTGAACCTGAGCCGAACCTCAAAGATCTGAGAAGAACCAGGATCTGAGCCCAAACATAAAAGATCTGGGCAGAATCAGGACCTGAACCAAACCCTAAAGATCTGAGGAGAACCAGGAGCTGAGCTGAACGTCAAACATCTGAGCAGAAGCTGAGGTTAAGGTTTTGGTTCAGGCGAAACTCGAGGTGTGACTCTGCTCCTCACGACGGACCAGCAGGGGGCTCGTTTTCGAGAAATCAGGTTTAATCACGTAAACCGTCACATATTTTAAGAACATTTCAGATTTTTAAGGAGATTCTGTGAGATCAACATTTCAAAATAAATGCTTAAAAAATACGTTTTACTTTGATGGGGTTGAAGAGTAGCCTTGGTTTTTGGCCTCTGCGTTTCTCCGCTTCGTCTTCTCGATAATGTGACTGAGCTCTTTTGTCGGTTTTGTTTTTCTTGGACTTGTTGTTTGTTATAAAAAACTGTTTTCGAGACCAAAAATCAGTCGCACCGTAAAACAACCAGAATTATCGGGACGAAATACAAGATGAAACTGGATCTACAAGAACGAGACGAGACGAGATTGTGACATTGTTTACGATAAATAAATGTGCGATCAAGTTTTCAATTTTATTCTCACCATTTTTTATTTTAATTTATTTCTTATTTTGGCTGTAGCGCTGCTTTTTGTGACGACGTAGCTCCACAAAACTTAACTTTTTATCCAAACCCTAACGTAAAAACATGAGAAAAAAATCTCACGCAATAATTTTCAGCGTACGTGCAGAATTTTGTCTCGCGAGATCTCGTCCCAATCTGTAAAATTATTATAAATTCCGTTTAAACTCACGTATTTGAACAGAAAGAGTCGTCCCAGATCCAAAAATGACTTTATCAGTCCCAGTGTTAATCACACAGTCACACAACCATAACACTAAACCAGAGTTAAACAAACCAGAGTGAACGCAATCTGGCCTTGAGTTATGAAATATTTGCAGATTGAATTTACTAATTTTGTCAGATTTTGGTGAATATTTTGGAGATTTGAGAGTTTAATGCTTTAGTGTGGGACATTCCAGGTTATAGAGTAAATATTTGTTTGTGTTAAATTTAGTTTAAACTCATGTGTGTCAACAGTAAAATGTTAAATATTCAAAGTTCTTTAGATTTTTTACAGTTTAATGTCTTAGTGTGGAACATTGTGTGTGTGAAATTAAATATTCAAAATTCAATATATATTTTTTTTAATTTTAGAGTTTATATCGTAAATATTTGTTTGTGTTAAATTTAGTTTAAACTCACATTTGTCAACAGTAAAATTGTGATGTTAAATATTCAAAATTCAATATATTTTTACATTTTAGAGAAGATTATAGTAAATATTAGTTGTTTTTTTATTTTGTTTAAACTCACGTATTTGAACAGAGAGAATCGTCCCAGATCCAAAGATGAATTTATTCCCAGTGTTAGTCACACAGTCACACAAACCATAACACCAAACCAGAGTTAAACCAAAGATCTTGTCTACTGATTTTTTAAAATATTTCATGAAGTATTCTAATAGTTTGTTGTTTTTTGTGGTGATGTGAGTGTGGCTGAGCTCTTTGTTTACATTTGCATATTTTTATATTAAAGTTATATTTTATTTTAGAGAAGATTATAGTAAATATTAGTTGGTTTTGTTTCGTTTAAACTCACATATTTGAAAATGAGATCATTTTCAGCCTCTGCATCATTTTGTAGCAAATTTGTCTCTCCAGATCTTGTGGTACGAGATCCCTAAAATTATACATATTTTATTTTACAGAAGATTGGAGTAAATTTAAGTTGTTTTATAATTTTAGTTTAAACTCACGTATTTGAACAGAGAGAATCGTCCCAGAGCCAAAGATGAATTTATTCCCATAACTAGAGCCAGTCACACAGTCACACAACCATAACACCAAACCAGAGTTAAACAAACCAGAGTTAAACAAACCAGAGACACAGTCAGATATTGATCCCACTGGACGATTTTTTAAATATTTTCAGAAGTATAAATAGTTTTTTTTGTTGTTTTTTGTGGTGATGTACGGAGCCCGACTAGTGATGTGCGTGAAAAAAATACTAAATCGTGGCCTCAAATGGCTATTTCGTTTCCACGTTTGAGCCAATTTTTTACCCAAAATTAAGAAATTGCCGCCGTTTAAACTAAACAGAGTGTGGTATTTTGGTGTTAGATTTGTGTTCTTCCAGTGTAGAAGTTATGGACCTCAGCAGCAGACACAAATAATTATAAAATATATGTTCATTTATGTTTTTTTTCCCCATTTTGATGTTTATTGTTTCCTGTTCAAATGTTGCTCATGTAAATGTAGAACTCGATCAAATCCACAATCAGTGTCGTCGTGTGGGTGAATTGTATTTTAGAGAAGAATATTAAATAAGTAAATATTAGTTGTTTTTAAATTTCGTTTAAACTCACGTATTTGAACAGAGAGGCTCGTCCCAGATCCAAAGGATGAATTTAGTCCCAGACTGAGTCACACAGTCACACAAACATAACACCAAACCAGAGTTAAACCAAAGACATGGTCAGATACTGATCTTGTCTACAGATTTTAAAAAATATTTCATGAAGTATTCTAATAGTTTGTTGTTTTTTGTGGTGATGTGAGTGTGGTTGAGCTCTTTGTTTACATTTGAATATATTTTTATATTAAAGTTATATTTTATTTTAGAGAAGATTATAGTAAATATTAGTTGGTTTTAAGTTTCGTTTAAACTCATATATTTGAAAATGAGATCATTTTCAGCCTCTGCATCATTTTGTAGCAAATTTGTCTCTCCAGATCTTGTGGTACAAGATTCCTATAATTATTCATATTTTATTTTAGAGAAGATTATAGTAAATATTAGTTGTTTTAAATTTTGTTCAAACTCACGTATTTGAACAGAGAGAATCGTCCCAGATCCAAAGATGAATTTAGTCCCAGTGTCAGTCACACAGTCACACAACCATAACACCAAACCAGAGTTAACTCAATCTGATCTTAAGTTATGAAATATTTGCAGATTGAAGTTACTAATTTTGTCAGATTTTGGTGAATATTTTGGAGATCTGAGAGTTTAATGCTTTAGTGTGGGACATTCCAGGTTATAGAGTAAATATTTGTTTGTGTTAAATTTAGTTTAAACTCACGTGTGTCAACAGTAAAATGTTAAATATTCAAAGTTCTATACATTTTTAACAGTTTAATGTCTTAGTGCGGAACATTGTGTGTGTGAAATTAAATATTCAAAATTCAATATATATTTTTTACATTTTAAAGATTATATTAAATATTAGTTGGTTTTAAATTTAGTTTAAACTCACGTATTTGAACAGAGAGACTCGTCCCAGATCCAAAGATGAATTTATTGTAGCCATTCACACAGTCACACAAACATAACACCAAACCAGAGTTAAACAAATGAGAGACATGGTCAGATACTTGATCTTACTGGACGATTTTTAAAATATTTTCAGAAGTATAAATAGTTTTTTTGTTGTTTTTTGTGGTGATGAACCTGCCTGATGTTGTGCAGGAAAAAGTTACTAAATCATGGCCTCAAATTACTATTTCGTTCCCACATTTTAACTAAATCATTCCCATATTTGAGCCAGTTTTTTACCCACAAATGAAGAAATTGCCGCCGTTTAAACAAAACAGTGTGTGGTATTTTTGTGTTAGATTTGCGTTCATTTATTAAGAGCTTCCAGTGTAGAAGCGATGGACCTCAGCAGACACAAATAATCATGAAATATATGTTCATTTGTGGGTTTTTTTTTCCCATTTTGATGTTTATTGTTCCCTGTTCAAATGTTGCTCTTGTAAATGTAAAACTAGATCAAATCCACAATCAGTGTCGTCGTGTGGATGAACTGACTAAAGTGTGGGAACAAAATAATAATCTGAGGTCATGATTTAGTCCTTTTTTTTTTTTCCACACGTCATCAGGGGAGCTCCGTATTAATGTGACCATGACTGAGCTCTTTGATTAAATCTCAATATATTTTCATATTACATTTATAGAAGATTGTAGTAAATATTAGTTGTTAAGTTTAATATCAGTTTTAAATTTCATTTAAACTCACGTATTTGAACAGAGAGACTCGTCCCAGATCCAAAGGTGAATTTAGTCCCAGTGTTAGTCACACAGTCACACAACCATAACACCAAACCAGAGTTAAACAAACCTGATCTGCAGTTAAATTTTGGTCAAAGTTAATTTTTATATTTATATTTTTTACTTGAGTTAACTAACAGTTTAATGCCTTAATGTGGGACATTCCAGGTTATAAAAGAGTTAAACAAACCAGAGTTAAACAAACCAGAGTTAAACAAACCTGATCTGACAGTAACTATGGGAGATAATTTCATCCTGTGATGTCTTGCTCCACTACGTTTTTAAATTCTGCATTTTCATTACAATCATTTGGATGATTTCAGCTCTGGAATTTAACTAAAGGTAAAAGCCGTTAACCTGAAA